TCAAATGATGCCATTGACGATAGCTTCTCCCGCCACTGTTGTTGCCACTATAACCACATCCGTCACCGCATCGGCTGCACCTTCGTCTCTAAACGGTATTATGCAGGCTCAAGGGACGCTGAATCACCAGGGTTGTAACGATCTCGCAACCGTTGCGGGTAATCTTATGAATTCTGTCAACTCAACCATTGATAGTCATATCATCAGCAACAATCTTCACGTTGCCCCTATCTCTACGAGTTCAGGGGTCACCAGTGTGATGAACGCTTTGCCCTTCAAGACTCTTCCTGCTTCCTCTGGCCAACCCTCAGTGCGTTCTTTTCTACAATATTATCTAAATAATAAGTCTTATTATTAATTGCATTTCCTATAAATAATTAGAGGAAGCTTTTTCATTCATGTTTCATTTAAGCTCAACTCATGGATTTTCATTTGTTTAATTATTTTGAGTGTTCACTTCTTGGCATTAACATTTTCTGAAGAGATTTGGCTCCTAGCAGCCTAATCCTTTGTTTCGATATTTGGTTATCGCCTATTAAATTTTGTTGCTTCTATTATCGTCTCTTATTATAGCTGATTAATTTGTTCTTAAGTACATTTCGAACCAAAGCAACTAATGTCTATGCTGGTGTTGGTGGTGATGATTAGATTTAACATCTGGCAATTCTCTCTAGGACAGTACTCTACGATATGTACTTGCTAAGCCTCTGAAGTATGCTCTAATTTATCCTTGCAATATTTCTACCGAGCATTCTTCTAGTAAGCATGCAGTTTGATTTTGCTATGCTCATGTGTGTTCTCGAGTGGTTGCATCTATGCTACCTTCATTAGTTAATTGAAATGTTATAGTCCTAACTAGACTAGGACAACAAAGCCTCAATAAGTGGCTCTTGTAATTCCTTAGTTCCATCAAATAGTCATGGGTAATTTTTGCTCCCTCTGTTGCTATCGTTACATATATTAATGTTTTGTTTATTTACTTTGGTTCTACAATTTTACGCTATTTTGTATTCAGTTAAATTATGTTGGAAAGTCTCTCCCGCATAGTTTATCAATTGACTTATAACCTATAACAACCTGATCACAACACGGGATTCTAAATGGATTATAAACTGAAAAATTTCTTTGAACTTTCCATTTACTAGCCCCGGTGATTAGTTTCTACCAGACTCGGGGCTATCAGCAGTCTTATGACATCTAATTTAGAAAATAAATTAATAAGGTTGATGACTTTATATGTTTTCTTTATGCATCCCCTAACAAATTATATTCCTTATTTATCGAACATTCTATTTATTAACTCAATAAATCCCCTTTGCAGAGCAGCAATGGGTTTTAATATACTTGAAGGTATGAAGACCAAGATGGTCTGGCCTTTTGTGTGGTTA